AATCATTTTACATTACTTTTTACAACACAAGATGTATCACACATTACCACCTTTAATTCTCCTTTCATATAACTCTGTTCCACCTACTTATATCAATCTCTTCACATTCTCCTGTCCCACAGTACAACAGTCTCTATGCCTGCATATATTTAAGAGGCTAAAAAGAAATAATATTTATAATTTGTGAATACATTTGGAAACTAAGGATTATGCACTATAAGGGTTTTCTCATGTCTGCCATATTGAAAAAATTATTTCCTTCTATATATTCTCAAACCATGTTAATTACTTTCCTGTGCTTGCTAGTTTACCACTTGTCCAGAAAGACAGGAAAAAGAGGAAAGAAAGTCATTCTACAAACTTCTTTCTACATTCTATAAACCTCCCTCTCTGGATGCACAGATTTGATTCTATAAATCTCCGGGGAAATTTATTAAATCCCAACCAGGAGAGAAGCTCTGCAGAGCCAGAAGCAAGGATTGAATCTTTTCCGGGCATTCTTCCAAGCAGAAACTTGGCCAGGCATATCATGGAAGACAACTGTGTCTGCCTTGTTTCTGAGCCATCTGAAATGCAACACAGTGAAGAATTTGGAAAAACACTCCACATTGTACCAAGCGGCTTTCTCTTATTTAATCTAGCACACAAGTGGGCTATGATATGGAACAGATCCAGTGGTGTTTCTAAGCTGCCCAAGCTCCAGGTCCATCCAGCTCTTGAGACTTCTTGCCACAGCCTTTGTGCCACCACTACCCATTGATTAACTACGTACTTCCTAACCATAAAGATGGGTCTGGGACATTATTCATTTCTAAAGGAAGATAGCACAGAAAGAAAAGTGAATGTTTTCATGTCGTACAGACTTGCTACTGCAAGGTCAACACCGAGTCACTTCAGTTCTTTGGATTCCACTTTTGCCAAATGTAGATGCAAAACCACCATTTCTACTATGTGAATTTGTGTAGACTAAAGGAGATAATAGGTATGCAGATGGCATATAAAGTTGCAAAATGGTACCTGTTTTACTATCTTTATTATTGTTAGTTTATGTTCCATTCACAACTTCCTCATCCTTTTATTTTCATCAAACTGTTAACTCCTGCATTGCGAATTAAGGTCTTGGTAGTTCTCCGTCCTTTGCTCACAAATGTTTACACCAGTGTTTGAAGTTTCCTCTTTGGAATCATTCTGCTTACATCTTGGCTGTGAGCATTGCCTCTATGTCCCAGCCTTGGCAAATGAGCACCTCCTGTCCCCAGGTAGTAAGCAGACTCATGGCTAGGCCAGTCTTTACCATTTGTATGTGGGAGAGGGAGATGGAGAGGGAGAGAGATTACATGTTGGTGCCACTATCAAGAAAGATTGGCATCACTCTCGTGGCTGACAAGTGTCAAGGAAAGCGAGCATCTGCTGGTTGGCTATGTACGCAGCACTACACAAGTGAAGCAGGATCCATACCCACTCCCGAGAACAGCTCTCTGCTGCACCTTCTCTCCTCACTCCAGTAAAGAGAATAACCAAGCCTCCAGAGAGCTCCGATTTAGACACAACAGGCTAAGCAATGGGTCTACACCAACTGATAGCATGTGTTTCTGTATATTCATGGCCCATGATTCATTGCTGTTATCTAACTATTATTTACATCCATGTATGAGAGTTCACTTCTATGTATATGGGCATATATCTAAATAAAAACTAAATATGCATATTTACCTCATATTTATATCATAAAATTTTATTAATTATATATATGTATGCATATATAAGAGCAGTGCAACAAGTTCTTTGAAAATAGAAATAATGGTATATATATAGATAGAAATTTACAGCTTACAATTTTTAAACATTTGAAACATCATGAATTAAATTTCAGGTACCATGATAGCAAGATAATATTTTCATCTTAAAATAGATTCAACTCTATTATAATGAGATAAAATTCTCTTTTATCGAGAAATATTTTCAATTCATTAAAGGGGTTTAAATTGAATTAATTAAAATTAAATATTCCTTAGAAAAAGAATTTTAATGGAAGTATTCTGTTTTATTATATGGATACACAATATGGTTTTTCACTAACTGGTTTATATATACTATTCACTGAATCCTTTTTCCACATCTGCAGGCTGTTGTTAGTATTAAAATTTCATGAAAATATTCACACATATGTTGAAATAACTTAGTGTCATTTATGAAGTCTTTTTATTACCATCTAGATAAGCTCACCTTTAAACATTTCAAAGCCTTGTTTTACTTTTTACCAAAAATCTCAGATTCTTAGTTTTTACAACCTTTCTTCTTTAACAAGGATGTCTGACCACAGTTTAACATTTTTTAAAAAAAGATATGTTTGAAAGGCAGAGTTACAAAGAGAGAAGGAGAGAGACAGGGAGAAACAGAGAGAGAGAGAGATCTTCTAACCTCTGGTTCATTCTGCAATGGGGCTAGGGCTGGGCCAGACTGAAAGCAGGAGCCAGGAGCTTCTTCCCGGTCTCCCACATGAGTACAGGGTCCAGGCACTGGAGTTATCTTCCACTACTTTCCCAGGCACATTAGCAGGGGGCTGGATTGGATATAGAGCATCCAGGACTGGAACCAATACCCATATGGATGCCAACATTGCAGCCAGTGGCTTCTCCAGCTATGTCACAATGCTGGCTCCCGTAACTTAACACTTGGGGGGTCAAAGTCATGTTTCTAAATACCAGTTCGGGTGCGGGGTGGAAATGTCAGGATGTTCCCAGAGAGGTTGTCCGTTAGCATCAAGATGCTTTTGTTTCGGGGGACAAAGTGCTCAAAAGCGCGTTCCCGTTCCGTACCCACACTGTGGTCACTTTGCCGCCTATCATGTTCTACCTTTTCAATCTCCTTAAATTTTATGTATGATAACACTGTATAGGTACAGTGTGCCAGGTGTTCTTCATTCCTGTTAGATCACATGCTTCAATGCTTCCTGAAGGCAGGCATTTCATGTGCCGTGTTCAGTTATAGGATCACCACCTACAGCTGCGTCCTGTGGACTGATAAATACCTGTATTCTGTAAGCCATGAGTCCCTTTCCACTGTGCTTAGCACGAAAACTAGCAGACAGCCACTTCCTCGCATATGTCCACCTGGGATTATTTTGGGATCCCCTCACTATGCAAGCTTCACCATAACACTCAATTTCAAAACAGTATTAACTCCCTAAGAAATAAACAAATGATACAACAATTTAGAAATCAGAGGTAGGGCTTTGTTTTTAATGCTACTTTCTAGTCTTTTATTATTTTTTTTTGAACTGCAATTTCACTTAAATTCATGTCTAAGAATAGCTCCCTGAATACAGCAGCATGACTGGTAACAGAAAAAAAGGGCAGGGAGGTGTTGGTTCTTGACAAATACCAATTGAACGTGTAATTAGCGGAGCCAGCTGGGTTAGGTGAGTCGGACTGATGAAGCCACCTCAGAGATCCTTGCTAAATAAAAGACTTAAAATGCGAAGCTGAAAATCATGTTATTTCATCAAACATTTATCTAGTGCCCCCTAATGGCAATGTCCAGTGCTAGATGCTGAAGGAAGGAAGTGAAAAAATAAAATGTACATAGAAATGCCACAGAAACATAATATCAAGTTCTGAATACACGCTGTTTAAAGGAAATCAGGGGGAAAAAAAATCACAGGAAAAGGGACACCTATTATTTAATGATTGTCTTCTGGTTGATTTGATGTGGGCTGTGACAGTCACTTCTGATACCTGAAATCCATTTCCCACCCCTCTCCTACTCCACTCTGTTGTTCAGTCAAGGATATCACCTAAGAATCACTGCTCATGGGCTTTTGTCTGGGTTTGGGAAGCGAGAAGCAAGGGCAGGAGGTAAGAGGACGAGAGCAAAGGATAAAGCAATCTCCCCTCACCGCTCTCCTGTGTGACTGGGCAGCACTGCCGGCAGTTGTCCGGTCTCCTCCATGTGTCTGGGCTCCAGCTGCTGCCACATCCGTCCTCCATGACTTCCACTTCAACCCACTAACCCCTATGCCACTCCCTGCTGGGGAAGGTATGGCTTCCCTGTGAGGACCCCTAGTTGAGGGGTTGCCTCAGCTGCTACTACGTTTCATCTCAGTTCTTTCATTACTGAAGTAGCAAATTCCCTGTGAGGAAAGGGTGAAGGCAACCTAATAACAACTGGGATTCGCATGCATGGCTGAGACTTGCTAACAAGGCAACAGCATTCTGAGCATAGTAGGTCTTTGGGGAGATGAAGGATGGTTTTGTGCCTCCTTATGTTCCAACCAACTGTAAGGACCATACAGTGCCCTTGGAGAGATATCACTTAAGTAGTCGAGCTACATGGCTGAGAGCTTTTGGATCCAGTCCATCTCTTTATTTCTACTAACTTTAAATAACTTATTAGGGACTCTCTCAGGAATGACTCACATACCCAGAACAGCAAAACTGGAAGGGGTCTTTTCCCTCCAAATTATATGCATGAAGACACAAAGCTTTGGAATGCTAAAGAGATTAGCTCAAGGTCACACAGCTGGCATAGCCAGAGGAGAACTTTCCTCTTCGAATTCCAGGTGCAAAGTTGTGTTTACTCTATAAGCTGACTTTTCTTGTTTCCCCATTTTCATTTTTTACATGCAGGTTTTGGACTTTGGTAACCACAAGCTCATGAACAAATTTGACAAATCTGAATGGGTTTGTTCCCTATTAATAATTTCTGATTCTGAACTAATAAAATGATCATGTTATTCATTCCAAAGTAGTTTGGAGTAATTTATGAAAAGGGTAATGAAATTAAATAGAGCAAAAGACATCGTATAATCAATGAAAAGCAGGTAGAACTCAGGTAGAATGTATTCTGTTTTGTCATTAACAATAAAGAAAAGCCCTTGAGCCTGTGATGTTTACCATATTCTCATGCAATCAGCCTTCTGAAATCCTGTAAATGCACCGTTTTTAGATCTAGACTGAACGCCAACTTTGGGGATAAAATAAACACCATGAGGCAAAGACTTTAGAGACATTATCTGTTTAATAAATATGATTGTAAAAGCAATAAACAAGAGCAATTATACTTTACACTACATAGTATTTAACAAAAAATACATCAAAAAAGTCATTTTAAAATTAGAAGTAGTTCCAATACTATAAGAAAACTTTCATTTTATTTTAAATTGGCTTCCTATAAAAATAAGTTGGCAAATGAGGGATTTCAATGCTCAGTTGGAATCCTGGAAAACACAGAACAGCTGCCAAGCACCCCATTGCTCTCAAAGTTGCTGTTTGGAACTTCTGAAAAAAAGCAAAGCAAATCTCTGCATTTTGGATAGTGAATCCAATTAGGAATAAGGCAAGGGAGAACATGTTGGTTGAGTAGTTCAGGGTAAAGCATGCACAGTTTGCCTTCTGGGATTTTGGAAAATATTGCAGTATAAGCACTTTTAACTTTCCCTGAATCTCACCTTCCACACACATCCCTCCCCACACACTCCTCTGGCCTTAAGCCCACCACAACTCCTCACTGCTTTTGCACCTGCTATTAGTGAGTAGGTAGGCACTTGAGTCCCTCTCGTTTGTAGGCTCTCATTACCACCTTCTCTTTGGGATTGAGCTGGAATGGCCCCACACTGTGGTTTTAAATATTAGCATGCATTGCAATCACCTGAAGGGCTTGTTAACCACATCACTGACCCAGTGTCACTCAGAATACGAAATAGCACTATTAATTTCCTAGAGTTTCTGATTTAGTAGGTCTGGGAGATGGGCCCAGAATTTGCATTTCTAAGTCCAAGGTGATGCTGACATGGCTTGTCCAGGAACCACACTTACAGAAGCACTGACCTGGGCCATAAGAACAATGAGATACCCTCTGAGCAGCACCTTGCCTCACTAATCACCTACAGGTGGAAGGGAGCTTTGAGGAGAGGCACATGAGGACAGTGGAGATGCTGAACCTACAGCTGGCTATCTGGTCACTTTCCAAAATGCCAGTCCTCAATTAGGACTTACAGCCCATTCTTCCCCATGTCTTTTCATGCATGTGTTTCGTCAACAAATAATTCTCCTAATACTATTCTTTGCAAGGCACTGTGCTAGATTAAGAATGTGATTCCATTTTTCTTCATTTTCTTTTTAAAAGGAATTGAACTGCAACTATGAGGGTACCCTGTGCTGGTTTGGGTGAGCCTCATTTGGTTTCCAAACATTTTGTCTTCCAAATTTGGGAGGCTCCAACTGATGAGAATCAATGAGGATGTTTCCTGTGAGCTAGGAAGCCTGGCAGGCTGGCAATCGGTTCAGGTCTGGAGATAGGTGGCTGCCCCAGGCACAATACATTTCCCAGATCCAGGTGGAGCACCCTCAACCAGGAACCACCTCTACTCGATCAACTTCAGACAGCAGCTTTGCTACTTCTTCCTTGCCAGAGCTGCAGAAGGACATGGAATACCAGGATCTTTGGGACACTCCCATCACCACCAGGGCCCCTACTGTATGTACACGGTTGTTGGTCTGGGGAGCACAGCCAAGAAGGAGGCTGAGTTTTCTCAGTGGTTTCTCAGGACTGCTTGGTCCTATATTTTAGAGTGGGCTTTGCCCTGTTCATATTATGGAAGGGGCTTCTGCTGGCAGGCTTTTGATTCCTTCCTTCTCAGGACTTTCTCTCATGACTGTCCTGGGGAAACTGGGATTTCTCCACGCTTTCAGAATCTCTTCTGCTTTGCTGTACTCAGCTAACTCCTCCCCTTCTTACTGACTTATTTGTCTCTTACTGATACTGCAATCAGAGAATACACATGTGAAATCACTAGGCTCATCCTAAATAATCAAAAATCTCATCCTAATGTAAGATAAGACCTCTGTATATTTTATCAGACTTTAGACTCTCTTCAACATTAAGTCCATTAATCTCCTTCTCCTTCTGGTTAAACTCAGTTTTATTTCACAAATATTTTTATTCTGGGAGAGAGAAATGTTAACAGAAATCATCACAGGAGGAAACTGTCATGTAACATAGTCACATGTTCAAAACATTTCTCACAAGAATTTTCTGGAAGTGGACCACAAGAGATTTTTGCTAAGGTGTGAGAACACCATAGAGTATGGCCAGGTTTGAACTGCTTTGCATATGTCAACTCTTTCACACACATTGTATGTTTCCAGGTGAGAAAAGGCAGGGATACTTGGAAAAGGTAGGTTCTAGAGGAAGAGACAAGGATGCATGACACTGAGCCCTGCGAGGCAGGATGCAGCTTGGTCTCAGTGGGCACGGAAGCTGGCATGCTTGGAGCACACAATACCAACAGAGATCCGAGATTGTGAGTGGTGGAGGCAGGGTTGGCAGAGGCTAAGCCAGTGTTTAGGATATGTCAGAGCTAGTGGTGAGAATCTAATGACAAGCTCGGGGAGAAAAAATGGAAACAACAGTGTCAGGGTAACAAGGGGACTGAAAGAAGAGATTCAGAGACATCAACACTTCATGTTCACACAGGGATGGCAGACAAGTGGGAAGGCAAGACAATGGGTAACTGTTGGGATTCCATTGTCCCCATAAGCTGGGGGAGGGAACAGGAGAACTGAATGGGAAACAAAGGTCCATTGCCAACATGCTTTGCCTCCCTGTTCTCTATTCCATCTGTATACATGGGTTTTCAACTCACATCTTTGTCCCTGTGGCCACAGAGAATCGAGAAGGTAGCCTTGTGGTCACTGCTGACCGCTACCAAAACTAACTCAGAAGGAAAAATGACAGAGTAAGGAAATTAGAACAGAAATCAGCTCAGGGTTTCAAACTCCTGTGCATGTCTTTGTGTCTTATGAAAATGGCCGGGATGGCTAACCCACCCATCAGCCTATACTGCTAAAATAGCTGTTAAATCTAGAGCCAAGAATACTTCCAAAAATACATGCAGATTTCCTTGGCCTATATATGTTATGAATTTTCTACAAACACGACGGATCAGAAAAAGGAGAGAGAAGAAGGAAAGGGGAGGGGAGTGTTTTCCATTAAAATAGAGCACCTGTACACTGCCCCTCCAAATGTGTTCTCAAGATATTGTCCACATGCACAGGCTTAAAGCTAAAAACCCTTGTTGTCTGTGTCTGAAGAATTAAAAAGTCCCGATGCAGTGAGTGTTTGTTTGTTTGGACTTTGATTGTTTTTATTTTATTTTTTGTTTTTTGTTTGTTTGTTTGTTTGTTTACTGGCGTCCTCCAGTCAAACATTTACATAGGTAGGGATTTCTTTTGTGCTTTGATTCTCAGCAACTATGGAAATACTTCCTGGCAAAATAGGAAACAGAACAACAAAGGAAAGAAAAAAAAAAAAAACAAAGTTAGTGGTCATGAAGGATGATGCACTTGACAAGAGCGAAATTCTTTCCTGATCAGCAGGTCGCCTGCAGCCTTTGGGGGTTTTCCTTAAATTGCAAACTGTGCCCCAGCCGATCCCCGCTTTGGCGTTGAAGGTGGAGTGGCGTGTCTTGCTCTTTGCAATCGGAGAGATGAGTCACCAGGTTGAGTAGAAGGGGAGGGAGGGGAGGGTAAAGCTACTCTCCTAAGAGAAAACGTGTAACACTTACTCATTTAATGACACTGGAAACAGGAAGGTGTCAGAGACTTTGCAAAGTGCTGTGAGCTGTTCCTGGTGAAGGAGGAATTGCTACTTTAATAAAGTAAACAGCGGCTGTGCTTCATACCCCGTGGAAATGGGACTGAGGACCAAATGAGCCAAAAATCCCGCAGCATCTTAGACGCTTTAGAAGTGAATGCTTCTCTGGACTTGAAGACAGAAAAGCCTTTTTTCTTTTTAACCCAAAGCAATTACACATTTTTCACCCTGTCTTCCCAAATCAAGAAAGCACACGGTGAAAATGGGACACCAGATGTGGCCACAGTTGTTATTATTATCTATGATTTGAGCCAGGCAATGCATTTAAATCTCCCCTCAATGCAGCCCCAGATCATTCCCAGAACCATTTAAAGAAAGGGCTATATTCCATTTACACACTCATATTTTTCTTCCATGTAACAGACTAAAAATTTTATGTACAGGCTTTCTAGGTGGTTTGCCATTATCCCATTGGAGTGAAGCATGAATGGTTATATGATCATTTATCCAGCACAGTCAGCAGTGTGGGATCTAGATGCTAACATTTTCACCTTCAACTTCTGATGCCGACTGACAGGAGGGGCTAGGGAGAGAAACGAATCGGCAATGCTGGCTTCATGAGATTTTCTAACTCCCTGGAACATTTTTTCTGCAGTAATAGTAGGATTTAGCCATTGAATTCGAGATTCTCTGCACCCAGTTATTGGATTACAAAAACTTTTGCTTACTGTAAAAGGCAGAGAGTACTCTATGGAAATCTGATGAAATTATTTAGAAGTCTTCTGATAAGACTTCTGATAAAGTCTTGTAGTCTTCTCTGAAATAGGCTAGCCATCCAGGTACTCTCTCAGGAGTCCCGTTTCCTGGATATGCACTAAACTTTATGCCTCTTACCCTCAACTTCTCAGGTTTCATATTTCCAGGGGGAGGAGTTTCTCCATTAGTGTTAAAAAAAAATTCCTAGGTGATCAAGCTGCTCTCTCTCATTATGTCACTACTCAACTGGAAACCTCGGGAGCAGATTTCCTTCCATAGAGCTGTCTCTGGTTGAGGCTGCCATATTTTTTCTGGCCAACACATGCCCTGCCCCTCAAACCTTGCCTGGCCCTCCAGCGCACCAGCCCTTGCCTCTGAGGCTCCCCCTTCTTGTGTACTATTAGAGTCACTGCTATGCTCTTTGCCCGTAAACATCTGAAGTCCAAGGTTTTAGGGAGAGTTTTTACAAAAAGAAGAATAACATTATGAAATAAATTAATAAAAAAACTAGATAGGAGCAAGAAAGAGGCATCGTAGCTGTTTATCTCATGGGTGTTAGAACAGACAAGGTTGTTATGTCAAGCCAGAAAGGGGTTAGAGAGAGTCAGCCATCAGCTACGAAGGCTCAACAGCAGAGGCTACTGGGAATCATTACCTATGAGCTGTGATTCCACCTTCTCATCTATAAGCTGGCCAGGCCTCCTTAGTTCAGTCGGAGGGATATTGGGCCTGCTTTCAGTGTGACTGACTGGACTGATCATCTCTTGTTCTTTCTCATTCTGCATCTGGGCATATACATTAATCCCCGGGATCTTCCTAAAACATTAACAGAAACCATCACTGCTGTGCGTGGGAGATGTACATCGCAGCAACGTATGCTTCTGAACCTGTCAGGAAAAGGGAACAGGTGGATGGATGCAGATGGAGGGACACGCACCTTTTAAACTTGTAGATGACAAACACGGCCAGCCCCACAAACACCACTGAGAGCAGCATCAGCATGGCGGATCCACTGTGGGCTGGAGTGAGGTCCACCAGTGGGGCTGGGGAAGAAACAAGACATAGTCATGAGCGGAGACTTGGGCAGGTGTCTGAGAGGCTCACACGATTCACACACAGGCATGGAGAGTCCCGAGAAACCATCTGGGATGCACAGACTAGAGGCACACCACACAGCCGACACATGCGTTTGTCCCAGCATCCAGAATGCCCTGACGGCCTGTTCAGGCTCTGCAGTGCAGCAATGAAAAGCACAAGGCATCGACCCTGGAGTCAGACTGCCTGGTTTCAAGCTCTGTTCTCCCAGAACAGATGGCTGTGTGATCTGGGGCAAGTTTCTTCAGCTTCATGTGTTTTTTTGTGATAAAATGAGAATAACAATAGATACCTCATCTGGTTGTTAGAGGGAATAACTGAGTTCATGATCAATTATCAAACCCTTTATAAAGATTAGCTTTTATTTCTATTGCTTTTCCTTTCATGATTAATCAATACATATGTGCCTAACCTTATGACAAGGTCACATCCTGATAAACCTATCCTAAGTGGAAAATATCCTATGTTGAAAATGCATTTACTCCACCTAACTTTCCAAACATTAGCCTACCTTAAATGTGCTAAGAACACTTGTTTTAGCCTTCAATTTTGTAAAATTATCTCACATAAAATCTATTTTATAATGAAGTGCTAAATATCTCAAGTAGATTGTTGTCTACCATATGAAAAGGGAAAAACAAAGGAAGGTTGTTTTGGTATGCTTTTGCATCATTATAAAGTCAAAAAATCTTAAACTGAACCATCATCCAGACACTGTCTATATTTAAAATAATGTAATACAAATGATTATTAAATTTTCCTACACTGCATACATTCTCTCCCCCTAAGTTAAGCAGGCAGTCAGTAAAAACTGGCTTATCCAACCTCTCCATCTTGTGAAAGCAAGTGATGGACCATTGCTGTATTTTTGTACTCAGAAACTGATGGCCAGGTAAATAGTTTACCAGGGCAACTGCTCTGCTGCTGAGAGAGGGAAGGACAAACTGGTTCTTCTATGACATCCCAAGGCTCTGACAGCCATACCAAGAAACTCCAGCTTCTTAAATGGAATGCGGTCTCCTTTCTGACAAGAAGCAGAAGCGTCTGCATTCATAAATTCCCTTAGAGGGTGGTTCTGGAAACCATCTCTCTCTACCTCCAAATATTCCTCATCTTTCTCAGGGTCAAAACTGTTGCACTTGTAATGAGTGTCTTTATAACTAATGAGTGTCTTTACAATTAATTTCTCCCTCTCAGAAACAGATAATTGCAAATACAGCATAGATCAAGCCTAAAAGACAAGCCACAAGGACCTGTGCAAGCTTGGATGCTGACCTTTTCCTTCCATCAATGTAAGCAAAGCCTGAAACCCAGAAATTCAGGTGACCTTTAAGCACCATTTCCTCTGCTGAGAGAAGAGAGGGCAAGGTTCTGGTCACCTAGGTAAAAATGTTCGGCAACAAGTGACTAATACTGATGGTGTCACACAAGACTCTGAGTGACTTCTGCTCTGCTGGGTTACTGAGAGATTGCATCCCAGCCACTTAGTAATCTCTACCAGAAAGCATATTCTACATAATGTCATAGTTCAGGAGAAATATGAAAGCCAAGACCTCTCTTAGGCTTAGGCATTTTCGTGGAATTGGCTTTTAGGGGGCACTATTCCCTTAGTGAGGAAGACCCTGCTAGTCTCTCTGTGCTGTAAATTAGTGCTCTGCAGTGAAACACCTGAGGAATATTCACTTTCTGTTCAAAATCAGAAAACAAAACTCTCAGTACCATCATCAGAAAAGTCCACAAATTCTTCAGAGCTCACAACACAACCGATATCATCAGGGGAACAGAACAAATATGAGCATTCGACACAATTATTATTGCAAATGATTTCACAAATGGAGGCATGGACTATGATCCTAAATTAAACAGATAAGAGCAGTGAAGTCCTTCTTGGTAAATGTCATTCCAAAGGACTTAGAGCTGGTGAATGAAAGAACTAAGTTTGCATCCAACTCATCGCGAGCACATGCACACACACTTACACACAACCCTGGCTCACTGCAGGAGGAGATGTCAGAACTGATAAAGGTATTTCTCAAGATGGGGACCAGGGCTCAGCTGATAGCAGAAGAAGGAACAGTGGAGGATGGCCCAGGTCCTTGGGCCCTGCACCTGCACTGGAGACCAGAAGGAAGCACCTGCCTCCTGGCTTCGTTTCAGTGCAGTGCACCGGCCGCAGTGGCCACTTGGGGAGTGAACCAATGGAAAAAAGACCTTTCTCTCTGTCTCTCTCTTTCTCTCACTGTCTAACTCTGCCTGTCAAAAAAAAAAAAAAGTGGCAAAAGCTAAACTATTTTTTTTGACAGGCAGAGTGGACAGTGATAGAGAGAGACAGAGAGAAAGGTCTTCCTTTTCCGTTGGTTCACCCCCCAATGGCTGCTGCGGCTGGTGCACTGGTCTCCCATGGGGTGCAGGGCCCAAGGACCTGGGCCATCCTCCACTGCATTCCCCCGCCACAGCAGAGAGCTGGACTGGAAGAGGAGCAACTGGGACAGATTCCGGTGCGCCAACCGGGACTAGAACCTGGTGTGCCGGCGCCGCAGGTGGAGGATTAGCCTATTGAGCCGTGGCGCAGGCCTAAACTATTTTTTAAAAGATTCATTAATTTATTTGAAAAGCAAAGTTACACACACACACACACAGGATGGGGGAGAGAGAGGGGGAGGGAGGGGGAGAGAGAGAGAGACAGAGATCTTCCATTCACTGGTTCACTCTCCAAATGGCTGCTATGACTGGTGCTGGGCTGATTTGAAGCCAGGAGCCAGGAGCTTCCTCCAGGTCTTCCACTTGGATACAGGGGCTCAAGCACTTGGGTCATCTTCCACTGTCCTCCCGGGCACACTAGCAGGGAGTTAGATTGGAAGTGGGGCAGCTGGGACTCAAATTGGCACCGATATGGAATGCCAGCATTGCAGGCAGCAGCTTTATCCACTACAGAGCAGGCCTCTAAACTGTTTCTTAAAGTTTCAAAAGATCATAAGTCATACACTCTTAAAGTTAACCAAATGAATATGTACCTATGAAAATGCTTCAGAAAGTCTGTGGAAATTGAATTTAAAGAAAAATATTCCTGGGAAAAATTTGAAATCCATTCATAGGTTTTTCATAATAAGCATTTTTCATGAGATTTTAAAAGAACACTTGTACGGATGATTTCAAATTGTCTTTTGGACCAAAACAAATTTAATTCCATTCTCCATGAACTTTTGGAAGTACCCTCCTGTGTGTGTGTGTGTGCATGTATGTATGTATGTGGGGAGAGAAAAGAGAGGGAGAAAGGGGGAGAGAGAAGTGAAGTCTTAGGTACCCAACACCCAGCTTCAACAATCATTAAGCCACAGTGAATCTTGCTTTATCTCTACCCCCATCAATTCCTGTAACCCCAATCACTGGAATATTTTGAAGCAAACTATGACATTATATATTTTTCTTAACTATAACTATAAAGAATAACCTCCCCCTCCTTTCTTCTCCTTCTCCCTCTCCATCAATACCATCATGAAACTAAAGACATAATGTAACAGGAAGAGATTTTAAATAGAATCTTCTAACACAAATCTTTAATTTGAAAGAGAAGAAATGGAGGCCAAGAGAGGGACCAGAGACCGTCAAGATGGTTTAAGGCAGGAACTTCTCACTACAACCTGAACGATCATTCATACCCACAGCATCAGTGCTACAGGACAACCAAGAAGAAAACCAAGCTCACATGAAATAAATGAAATAAATGAAAAATGAAGAGAGGAGATTACTCTGGCCAGGTTCTCCGTAACACAGACAACAAATGCAGACACATACTCACACACACACAATTTCCCTTCTCTTATCTTCCTTATTGTATTCTTATCCCCATCCCAATGTGAAATCTTCACTTTATAAATAATTGACAAGCCTTTCTTAAACAAGTACTATTAACACTGTTATGTAATCACCAGATTCTTTTGGGAAATTGAGCTTCTGTCGACCAGGTTCTAAAAGGTATGTTACCCATTCTCTCCTCCCCGGTCTACACCGCTTAGTGAGATCTCAGAGGCAGGCAAACAGGCAGCAGCATTCAGCAGCTGGAGAGATTGAGTGCCATTGCCCTCCTCGTTCTTGGGTGGCTCCTGCTTGCTGATGTGTGTCTGAATATAAACAGGTCTATTATTGCTCCGCACAACAGCAGCTGCATATCTTAGTTTGCTCAAAACTTAGGTGCATTTCTGTGCATTTTGCTGAGGAATGGAAACTTGTGATAAATGGGTTTTAGCTTGTTGTGTGGAATTAGCATAAATTAATCCCTCTCCAATTGCAACCTCGACAAGGTAGATGCGTGGGGGAAGTGCTGAGTAGTATTTTGCAATTATTCATGCACAGAGTGTAAAATGGATACAAGCAGTATTCTGAGTGACTCAACATTTCTAAGTCTGGATGCTGGCACACATCATTTCTAAAATCCTGTGAGGGACTTGGAAATGCATAGGACAATTCTATTCATGAGAGCCTGGCTGATGATAACTTAAAAATGCATACAGCGATAACAACATTCTTCTTGTGAAAAGTGATTAACATGTAGTAAGTGCTAAATAAACAGCCAGTTAGGTGTATGACAGCAAACTCAAAACTCCCTAACTGATATGGGAACCCTCCAGTGATGAGTTCCTGGTTCTGCCACTTATTTGCTGAGTGATTTAAGCTGAAACTTTAATTTCCTCATATGTAAAATGGAGATCAAACTAGCAGTTGGTTTTCAAAGTTGTGAGAATAAAAGGAAATGGAATTTATAAAGGACTCTCATAGTAGCTTGCACATAATCCATGCCCAATATTTTTATCATTGTCATGTTATTACTATAATATTTTTAGAAGTGTATTCTGTAGTAAAAAAAAAAAAATCCTGAAAGATAATGAAAGGGTTCCCATGGTCAAATAATTTTGGGAAGTGGCACACACAGCATTCTCCATCAGGAGAC